AAGCTGGAGACCAGACAGGATGGGTACTCGGGCCTGTGAAGCTGAAGCACCCAGGCTGTCCCCATCCCAGCCCTCCATCTCAGCCCGAAGGTTGATCTGTTGTCTCTCTGGAGCCTGGTCTGCATGTCCCAGTTGGTCACTAGGGTCGCTTCTTATGGGAAGGCTTTCTCCGTGTTTAACTGCTGGCCTCTCCCTGCTCTTTCTGCCTGTGGGTGAGCACTGACATCATGCATTTGGCTTTCTATGTATTTGAGAGTTAATGTACATCCCTTACAGACAGGCTCAGTGACATCACCCCCAGCTCTAATATAAAATCTGGCCAGCTCCACGGAGAAAACTAGAGGCTTGGGAACGTTAAACACTTACAGCTTGCTCAGATTCTTTGTAGTCACAGTCCTGCCACGTTTTGCCACTTTGAACAGAACAGTTGCCTTCTTTGATTTGATACTTGAGGGAATAAAACGTGTCAGTGTCATCCTGAAAGAAAGCAACCAGAGATACATAGGGTTCGTCCAACTGATCAATTGATTTGGGTGGGATCTGGTGCAATTATGAATATTTGATCTTGATTTGATTCTGTGAGGGCACCACATTTATTTAAAACGCTGAAAATTATAAACATTTATTTAGAGAATGTTCATAAGATAATTTTAAAACACTTTTTAAATTACAAAGCAGTATCCATAATATTAGCCCCCTTTTTTGGTAGAAATCAATTCATATATACGTACATGATTTTTGAAAGTCTGGAAAGCTATACAGCAAAACTGTTAAAATGTTTGCCTCTCAGTGAGAGGGGTACAGTTGTCTTTCATTTTCTTCCTTAAACATTCCTAGACATCCATTTTATAAAACAAACATATAATACTTCTACAGTTAGAAAACAAACAAGAGGTCCCTTTTCCAAGAAATAAACAGTTATCTCTGGATGGTGGAATTAATTTTGGGTAAATTAAGTATTCTTATTAGCTTTGTTTTGTATTCTCTTTTTCTAGCATGTCATGAAATAATAAGACTTATGAAGTGTAAAGGTACTGAGCTAGTGAGCCTTGCATGTAAAATCCTGGTGTGCTGGAGCAGATAGGGACCTGCAAGTTGATGTCCCACCCCTCCAGTTGCAGGTGAAAGAAAGGAGGCCTGAGTAGATGGGACATGGCTGAGGCAGTCTCTCCACCTTGGGAAGGCAGAGCCAGCCCAGACCCCCGTGCTGGGGGCTCCCAGGGCTGTGCTGTCGCCGAGCCTGCAAGGCACACAGGATTTGCACCTGGAGATGATGGAGTCAAACAAGATAATCTCCAAGGACAAAACAATAGGTGGTAGTGGTATAGACAGTGTCTGCGTGGCAAAATAAAGATGAAAAGTGATTCTATGGACATTTGAGAACAGAAAAAGCTCATTTGCCACAGATGGCAGCCTATGACAACAGACCAACACCCGTGAGAGTACCCAGACCCCATGTCCACAGTACTATACGAGTTTGTGAAACAGAATGGCTCAACTTTACTCTCAGAAAACAAACTGTCCATTGGGCTTTTTTCTTTATCCTCATTATGTCAAATGGGTAGATTTTTTTCCTCCACTAAAGAAAACAATTGCTTAACTATCACAAAGTTTTGTAGTGAAATTGAAACAAACTATTTAAAGATTTATATTTGTTGAGATCACACATCTGATAAGGATTGTCTCCAACCCGAATGCATTAATTAGTAATAAAAAAGTAATAAAACCACCTAGGACATTGTTGTTATCCTTGATGCATTCAGCCATATGGACTTCACGGTAGACATTGTATTTTATGTAGTAGAACCATGTTAATCTAATTTCTGCCTCCTCTTGGATGTGACCCCTCTTTTCCCCCAAGCTTTCTTGAGGTATAATTGACAAATAGAAATCACCTGTTTAATATGTACCATGTGATAATTTGATATATGTATACATTGTGAATGATTACCACAAATCACCTCGTTGAGTTTTTTTCAGGGGGTGGTGAGAACACTTAAGATCTAGTCTCTTAGCAAATTTCAAGTGTATAAGACATGATTGTTAACTAGTCACCATGCTGTACATTACATTCCAGGAGCTAGTCATCTTATAACTGGAGGTTTGTACCCTTTGACCAACACTGTCCTGTTGCCCCACCTCCTAGGCCCTGGCAACTACCATTCTACTTTCTCCTCCTGTGAGTTAGACTTTTTAGATTCCACATATAAGTGAGACCATCAGTATTTGTTAGGCATGCTCCCTTAAGCACCCCTTCCCAGCCTAAGATCAGGAGGTCTTTGTATTTTAGTTTAGGTTGGTCACCCAGTAAATCCTCTTGCAGCCTGGTTAGTTCCTGGATTTTCCCACTCTGCATAGCCTCTTTCATATTACTCCACTTACCTTTGTTCATCCTTACCCTAGGATACTGCTTCTCTGATCACCCGGGAAGCCAACCTTGGTGGCCTGAGGACTAGTCATACCCGGCCCTGCACCCCCAGGCCAGAAAGTTTGGTGTTGGTCTTTTCTAAGACCTGTAAGATTCTTTGATTATAATCATTCTTTGGTGATTGATGTGTGTGTGTGTGTGTGTGTGTGTGTGTGTGTGTGTGTGTGAGAGAGAGAGAGAGGCAGAGATAGAGAAACAGAGAGACAGAGAGAGAGAGAGAAGCCTGCTCAGAGTGATAGCACAAGTCCCAAATAACCTCAGGGTTAAACACAGCACACTCACCATCTTGGTGACCTCAGTTACACGGTACAATACAAACTGGTTGCCTTTTTGGTTTCCATGGTTATATTTCTTCAAAGCCGTGTCCACTGCCTTAAATACATCCTCATCGTTGCAGTCAATTTCTTGTGAGAAGGACTCCTCTGTTAAACTTAGTGGCAGCCTGGAGCAGAGGAAAAGGATGGCAATTAATTTCATGATGTAACAGTCTCCCTCTAGGAGCTGGGGGAGGGTGTCACCAAGAATTGGGAGCCAAATTGAATGTGATTTTCACTATCTGCAGCCTTTTCTCTCAGCTGTGCTCTCCTCTCTGTGCTTCAGCACTCCCAGGCCTTAGTTGGATTTCTGCTGCCATCCACTATTTGCCCTATTCCAAAAGGACAAATGGCTTTGCTGGGTTATCCAAGGAGACTTCAGGCTGGAACATTACAACATCAGGGTTGTTGACCTCCTTGTTTGCATTCAGGAAGCATGTGAAAGCACAGAGCACATTTCCAGGTGATTGCACAACTTTGTAAGCAATTCGGGACAGAATCTAAAAAAGGAGGAGAAAAAAACACCAACCGCCTGTTACTCCCTCTCCCAACTGACTTTCCCAAAGCCATTTACAAAGGTCACTACATGTGACAACAGTGAGTACAATGTGCAGATACCTTTCAAAACAATTTCTTTGCAAGATATCTGGCTGCAAAGATATCTGTCAAAAAAAAGCAGGCTAACAAGCATGGTGCAGGCCTGGAGAGCCCATGCACAGGGCATAGCGATGCTGGGAGCCTCACACCAGGACACTGGCACAACAGAAAAGAGAATATGAACATCCTATCTGGTTCCTGGCCAAGTCAGCCTCTCTCCATTCAACTGCATTAGTTCTAGAAAGAGAAAAGCTCCCCATGGTGGAGAAGACAGGGAAGAAGTATAAGAAGAGAGGGCTTGAGTGGAGCCCTGCATCCCCTGGCCTTGCTTTTTGTTTCTGGCTTGGTGGATAAGGGTGTCTTTCACTCATTAATCCTAAGAAACCTTTCTGATAAACTCCAAGCTTTGATTCTGCTCCTGGACTGTGCATCATGAGTCATTTCCTTACTCTCCCAGTGTCTCTGTGGACCCCTCCTTCTTCCCAGTCTGAGAACTTAACCCAAGTCTCTTTTACCCTTAGGTATTTTTCCTACCGCCCCCCCACCCATTCCTACCAACACAAGAATCTACCTCTGCCACTGTGCACCTGAAACAGCTCCAGTAAGTCAGGTGGAGAGGACCCAAAATTTGATTAGCCTGTATCTAAATGCTTGTGCCCTGATTTTGGAAGAAGGTAAATGAAGGAAGATTTGAGTGTGGGAAAAAGAGTCCTCTGGCACCAAAACTGAATAAAGAGAAGTTGTCTGAGACTAAAGCGGCCCCAGCCTGGGGAGAAGATCTGAGAAGAACGGCAGGATCTGGGGGTCCTGAAGCAAAGGACACCTGCCCTGCTTTCAGGGCATGTTGCCTGGAAGGCACTAAGATCCCAGGGAAAGAAAAGCTATGGGGTATCTCCTGGCAGTCATGTCCATTAGTGACATACAGAGATGCCTGTGCCCCCAGCTTGATACAGAAGAAGAAGATAATCTAGACCCAAAGGGCAAAATGAACAGGGTGATAATCATCCCTCAGCAGGGGTTCCTGGTGGACCAGTGATGAAGAATCACACCTTCTCATGCCCACCACCAAACACCTTGACACTGTGTGGGATGCTAGGACTGTGGCACAATTTTGTGAGGGGAGTAGCAGGGTGGGGGAACTCCAAGAAGGACTGAGGTTAAGTTTCCTAATTAGCCCAGTAGGGTGGCAGCTTGAATGAAAAATCAATTTGTTCTGAAGATAAAATGGTATTTGTTGTGCACCTGAATTTATGGTCTGATTCATGCCTGCAGCCTTTTTGCAGTTTATTTGCCTGAGCACTGTTTGCTTCATAACTGAATTTAGATCTTAATTTTCAAAAGGAAGTTTAGAGGACTAGGATAATAAGCAGGAGAGAATTTTGGTCACTTTTATAAGAATAATCCTTGAAGTGATAACACATACTTTCTTGTCATGCCCAACTACAGCATAAGTAAAGACTCCAGAATTAAATAAACTATGTCCAGAAAAGAAAGAACTTCTAAGGATCAGAGATTTGTCTCAAGTGACCCAGTGACTGGTGTCAGACTTGTGGTGCCGAGATCTTTTTTCCCCTTGCCATTTGTCTCTCCTCAAGCCATCTTCTCCCCCACCCACATTTGCCCTATCCTAAATATGCAAGAAAGGTTAAAATAACTAGTAATTTTGTGTTTATTACTGGTCATATTTTATTTATGGTTCTAATTCAGAATGTTATTCACTTTTCTCCATCAAGGAAATCATATTTTATTTTGGAAATGTATATGCAAAAAACTTTGACACATGTGTAAACTCACTACTAAATGTCCATGGACATGATTCAGAGGTTGACTGAGGGAAGGGCTGAATCTTTGGCTCTGAGGGATTGTTGTGGTTTGGCAATGAGTAGCTGGGAAAGTTGGCTTCAGGAAGAGGAAGAACTTCATCTTTCTTTAGTGGAGGGAGTCGGTAAACACGTCCAATTTGTCTCCATGGGAAGGGAAAGTGCCCTTTACCTGGACCTCTTTCCTCTGATTGCCTAGATGGTGGGTGATAGTGATCTTGGGGACGTTGGCTATGGGGTGGTGGGTCACAGGGTCCATGGTCATGGAAACGGCCATGGGGATAGTGCCCATGGGGATGGTGTCCATGGGGACGGTGCCCACGGGGACGGTGTCTACGGCGATAGTGTCCATGGGGATGGTGCTCATGACGACGGTGTCCATGGGGATGGTGCTCACTGGAGCCATGCTTATGAGGGGGTCCATGGGTCTTATTAGTGCCAAAATGAGGGTGATGACATCTTGACACTGATGGGGGTAATAGTGGAGGAGCTCCTGCTTGAAGTGGTGGTCTGTCTGAGTGGTTTTGGTCTTCCAGAGGAGGTGGGCATCCCGGTGTATGTGGCTTGTGGGGACGATGATGATCTCTGGATTCACTGGGCTTAAATGGAAGCTTGCCAGCAGGGGAATCCTCATGTGCATCAGAGTGGAGGGGATGGCCCGAACGGGGCTGCACAACACTGATGTTTCTGTGTTCCTGGTTAAAGGACACAGACAAGTGAATACCATGTAACAAAAGAAGTTAGATGTTTAACTTAATTTAGACCAATGACTCTCAGACTTTTGGATTCTGCAAATAAATTTTAAAAGTAGGATACTGAGAAAAAGGGTCTTCAAATTTTTTTCTAGCTAAGTTGACCTTTAAAATAAAGTTAAAAACTATCATCTGCCATCATTACTACTTCACAACAGAAATAATATTTTGACACACCAGAGCCAGAAAGATAATTTCAGAGTAAAGGATGATTCTTTAGATGGAATAAATGTTGTGTTATGAAAAACTTTCCTAATTATCCTCATTTTTCTCATTTCAACATAAAGTGGTAAAATTTTGTTATGGAATGGTCCTCATCTGTAGACCAACACTTGGAAAACTAGTGCCTTACAATTTATGTTCTCGACAGAGTCCTGAGGCTTTACGGCATTAGCATCTCCTGTTCCTAAGGGATGAGCACTTCACTTCTTCATTCCTTTCCTTGTTCAGATTTTTAAAAAAATCTCTCTGGAGTCATGTTCATGGTGACAAACCTGCCCTCCCTCCACACACACACACTTTTGGTTTGGCACATGGATGTTTGGATTATTTTCAGGTTTTTTGCTGATAGAAAAACACTCTGAAGAATATCTTGGCAGAGAAAAAAGTGCTCTGGGACAGATGTAAAATATTATTTTCCATCTCATTTATATACCTTTATATAATGCATTTGAGGCCAATTCATTCCACTTAGGTTCTATGCCCAATAATAAAAGCTAGGAATTATTAGGTTTCAGCACTGGAATCCTGGCTAAAAGGGCCATTTTCAAATTTATTAAAGGTAGATTGAACTGGTCATGATTTTACTTTTCTGCCAAATCTTCCCCCTTCCCCCGTTATTTCGTACTCTTTGTGTCATACCACCAATTGTACTCTTTTCCCCAGGGACCTATTCTCTCTGTATTTCTCCTCCTTCCCTCCTACCCCCATCTCATCTCTCACTCTCTCTCTGTCTCTCTCTTACACACACACACACACACACAGAACCACAGAACCATAAGAACAAAGTATACTATGTGTGTGAAAATATCACTTAGTCAGACTGCTCATGACAAAGGTACTTAGGCAACCCACCTCAAGGTTGAAGACTTCACAGTTTATGACAATGTTTTCTGGGGTTTCCCAGTCAGAGGCTTCGACATCATAGGACAAATCTGCCCTGCAGAATCCAAAGATCTACAAAGAAGAGAGAAGTCTCTCAGTATGTGTGCTTGTGTATGTGTATGTATGTATCTGCATTTGTGTGCAGGTGATGTGAAGGTGTCTAGCTAGAGTTGTGAACTTCCAGGAAAGGAAGAAAAGCTTTAGACACATCAGAATATATTATCAAATATCTCCACCAGCTATTAAACAATCTTTCCTTGTCAACACTTTGAGGAATGAGCACGTTCCCGTTCCCGGACTTCCTTGCAAGTTACTCTTCTCCTTCATGGGTGGTCACCAGCACTGGGCTTCCCCATGGGGTACTGAGGAATACCACACCACTGATGGCTTGCCTTTAGGCCAACCCTTCTGCACTGAAGACCTGAGTTGCCTGTGCCTGGAGAGAATGAAGAGTGGTACAGAAGAGGGGGTCGTGCAACTTTGGCCAGTCCCTTGGAGGAAAGTGTTAGGAAGGAGAGAGCCAGTGTAAAAATGGGTTTGCACAGACTCTGTCAAAGTGACTGCCTGCTAACTTTCCTCCAAGGACAGAGGCTACAACTGGCTGGCACCCTTATGCCTCAGAGGCTCCAAAACCCGGCATCCAGTTAGACCAGGCCAAGAAGAAAACTTTTCCAGAAGAGCCTGTTAAGCTATAAGGTTCTGAGTAGAGTTTTGTAGTCAGACAGATCTATGTTAACCTTGGGTTCACCACTTACTAGTTGTATGAGTTTAGGCAAGTTACATAACATTTCTGAAACTCAGTCCTTGTCTATAAAATGGATACAATGCTATTTAACCACAGGTTGTAGGAGTACTTAATTAAATGAAATACTGCTGTGAAACACTTAGCACTGATCCCCCTCATCCAGCCACTATGTTTCTGTGCTGGGCTTGTATTACCCACACCACTATAGCTAAGGGTTTGTTGGGGATGGGAGTGGGACAGGGAAGTATCTTTTCTGGTGGCTACTAAGCAATATTCTAGAATTGCTTCAGGTTGAAAAATTGAACAGTCAGAGAAGAAACGAATGAATGCTTCCTCTCTCTGGTCCCGGAAAAATGTGTTGTTAAGTCTCAGAAAAATTCTGGATTTGAAATCAAAAGGCCACTGTTAAAATCCTTTGTCCTAATACTTTCTTGCTAAGTGTCCTTAGGTAAGTAGTTAAATGTCTAGGCCCTTCTGTCCCAGCAAAATGGAGGCAGACACTTGCTTCTCCTTGGCAGGATGGTCACTGGGATCCAACAAGGCAAAAATAGACGTGGAGATGTTTTGTAAGCTACAAATCACCATGCAAATGCCAAGTATCGTTAATAAGATCTTCCTGCAGGCACATGAGTATCAGTTGATGAATGATTAGGAGGAAAAATCCCACTGGATCAATCAGTAGAACTGGATTCTAATCTCAGCTTGTGGTTGTGAACATAGGGCAAGACCCTTACTTTGCTGGGTCTCTGTTACATCTCCATTTGTCACATGGGGTCACATGAGGAGTAAATGAGATTAAGTAAATAAAAGCACTATGGGTATAGGTTCTTTATAAAAGCTAGTTTTTAGTTTAATCTAAATGGGTTAAAAAGCTCAGTGTTAAGTTAAAGTATATGTCATGTATATTATAAAATCTTAATTCTCATGATTCACTCAATTTCTCTGTGCCTTGGTTTCCCCCATCCATAAGCCAGGGATAAAAATAAATCTACTTCACAGGGTGGTGGTAATGTTAATAAGGTAGGATATGTGTAAAGCACTTAGAAGGGTGCCTGGCACATGTAAGTGGTCTCTAAATGTTGCCTAATATGTCACAGACATTTATTATACTCACATTAGAGTGCCTGGGAAAATGGTAACTGGAGCAGTTCCTTACAGAAAAGTCCACATAGTAATTGGTTCTTTCCCCTCCTCTCTGAAACAAATTGAATCAAAGCAGTTTCAGGAACATGAAAAGAAAAAAATTTTTAAAGTCCATAGATACCTATTATCCAATACACTGTGAAGAAATATGAGGATTCAAAATCACTAATATGTGCCATTTTCCTGGTGGTCTCTGCCTTTAAAAATTTATCACGTAAGTGGTAAGGTGACTACTATTTCATTGAAAAAGTTCAAGTAATACAGACATAATCAAGCATAACGGAAAAAAATCACCCTTTCTGCACCCAACCTGTTCTTTCCAGAGAGTGGTACCACTACCACCTATTTGATGTATTTCTCCTCTAGCCTTTTCTTAAATATGTTGTGAAATGTATGTGTATAGCTAATTATTTAATGTAAATGGGCTCACAGTCTAAAGTATTGTTCTGTAACCTTTTATCTTACTAATATGCCTGGAAACTCTTTCCAATGCATATAGGTCCAAAATTGCTTTTTAGCAATTGCATGGTATTCATTCCATTGCTGTGTGCCCTATAATCTATTTAACTTTGTGTTTTCAAAATGTATGATAAACATCAACTAGCTGTTCTACAAGATTACTTTGGTGGGAGGTCCCTGGGTCCCTAGATGGGAGGCAGGTGAACTGTCTAGCTCCAGCCCCATCACTGGGTGTGGTGAGATAGTTTATCTGAGCCTCGGTTTCCCATCATAAGACAAGATGGTTAGGACCAAATGATTTTTAATGGCTCACATAACCCTAATATGCTCTTCTGTCTTTCTGTCTTTCTTGTTTGGGTTTTCTCTCCTTTCTGGAAGATAGTCACACTCCCCACAACCCCCAAAAGTAAAACACCACAGGAGGGCATTTCTTTGATATTTCCACACTATCTATTGAGGCTACAATAGGGGCCTCAATTTGGAAGGCAGCTGACTGAGTAAGGCCCGTGGGGAAGGTCAATGCTGCCAAGTTTGCTCCTGCCAGGTTGGAGGCAGCCTGGGCTCTCAGACCCCTGCTGGGCATCAGCAGAGACTCACCGCTCTTACAACTCTCTCCACTTGGTCCACTCTGAAGGAGACAAAATCATCATTCTCCCTTTTGTACTTCTCAAGGGCTTTGTCAGCTTGTTTTCTGTAGAGCTTGGTATCCTCAAAGAAATCAAAGAGTATGGGGCTGTCTTTGGTGTTGGCTAAGGCTGAAGAGACTGGGGACAGAAGATGGAAGCTCTGAGTTCCTGAACTTAAAGAGCAATATCAACACTAGTACTTAATACCTATAAGAATGGTGGCAAGAGTAACAATAGCTTCCATTTCACAGATGGGCAAATTGAAGGTTGGAGAAGCTAAGTAACTTGTTCAAGATCAAATCAGCCAATAGTCAGCAGAGCTAAACTTAAACTCAGACCCTTCTGATGCTTAAGTCTCTGTTGTGATCCCTATTCATGATACACATCCTCCCCATCATTCGCAAAATGTTAATATTTTAATAAACTCTTCCTGTTGCTGCCAAGGAGGGAGAGACAGCATTAATATAGTTTTTGCCAATGAGAGAAGATACAGCTCAACCCTTCTTTAGGGTGACCTCCTGAAGGAGTTGCTTGGCTGTTGAATTTTTATATATTGAATCATGTTGAGATATGCTATTTTTAAAGGAATTCTGTGATAATTCTTTTTGAAAAAGTAAATAAAAAGAGCATGGAATTTAGAGTCAATACTAGTGGGATAGGATCATGTCTTCAACCTGATTGTGTTTCCAAGACCAACCATTGAATTTCCTTGAGCCTCAGTTATTTTATCTCTAAAAGAGAAGGTATTGTAATTTTTACTTCATAACCTTGTTGTGAGATTAAATGAGATAACATATGTATAATTGTCTTGTGACCTGTATAATAATATATAATTTCTAGATGGTGAGGTCAATTCTTGAGTGCTAAATACTCTGTAAAGTTTACTACACAGACTATCTTATTTAATTCTAAGAAGGACCTGAATGGCTAATACTATTATTAGCTTCATTTCACAAAGAGGGAAAACTTAAAGAGGTTAAGAAAGAAACTTGTTCTCAAGACCACACAACGAGTACGTGATCAGGCTGGGTTCAAACTCAAACAAATCTGACCCAGAGCCTGTACTCTCTACAAGGATGCTGTAGTGCCTGCCATACATTTCTACTTCTATATGTGGGATTTCTTTAAAGGGAGGCATACTGGTAATAGGGGATTATTCTTTTCTCTACTTTCTCTTCTCAAGAGAGAAGATAATAACTGAGTCCATGAGATCATGGACCATTTCTCATATATACATTATAGTAGTATATGATGAATACTACTGTATAATTGAATTTTATATTAATCTAGAATAATTAATATTAGCATTTTAACAGATGACTATACCAGAACTAGTGGTGCAGTTAAAGCCATTCACTCTGAGATCCTGAGATTCATTCAAATGTGTTGTAGCTATAACCTTACATTGTCCAATCACCTGTAAGAAAGAGAGGTTTGCGTTATTGTATACTGCTTTCCTCAGGTTGAATATGAGCGAACAAAAAGTTGATGCAATATAATCTTACTATCCTTTTCAATTCACTTGTGGTTTCTCTCACCAAATCCTCTCTCAAAATCTGTATTTTCTTATGTGTTTCTGTGAACTCGATGCTACAGGTGTCCAAACCCTCAAGGGAACCAGGGAGAAACAGACCATGACCGTACCCAAACATTTTCAAGGGAAAAAAAAAGTGCTGAAAACTCCTAGGTATTTAAGCATCTTATTTTCTAGAATGGAAATCTTATATTTGTGTTACTCGTTTTTGTGTTCTCCTTCTGCTGCAGAGCCTGGGATCTGAGCATTCATAACCACTGTGCAGAGTAAGACTCCCTCACAGTAACTGCAACTAATCCCTTTGACCCTTCCTGTTAATGGGACCCGTTTTCAAAGGACTCAATTATAAGTTCACAGATTCTTAGACCCCACAGACTGTCAGGGTCAGAATGGGCCTTACAGTTCACTCATTCCAACTCCCACACTCTTATTTTTCAGTTAAAGAGATGGAAATCTATCCATGTTAGGTGATTTGCCCACAGTCTCACAGCCGGTCATGCTATCCATGGGATCGGACACCCACAGACTGATCTCGAACTGAGTTCCCAGGTATAACTCTCAAGAGAATATTACTCAAGGTCAACACAGTCTTTATGAGTAAAGAAACAGTGGCTGCTCTTACTCTTACACTGTCTGAGCCCAAGCATATGGCTACCCTGAGTAACCACAGCAGACAGAAGTCAAGAACAGTAAGAAGGCAATGGTAGCCTGTTTACTTACTAGCTCTGATGGACGTCTAGAAACAGCTGGCTCACAGTCCTCCCAGTGTTGCCTGGACAGGACTGAACAGTCGGATTCTTTCACATCTAAGACTAAATAATAAACAGCTGCAGATTGCTGGGGAATGCCAAGAAAAAAACATGTGAGTAGCATGTGGGAAACTGGTGCTCTTTCAATAAAAGCAAGCTCTTTATTTCTTAAACAGAATTCCTGTTCTCTAAATCATTGCAGATGTCCTACCATTGTATCATTTGATTTATTTATTTGAATAAATAGCTTCCAAGAGCTACTTCCAAATGTTCTTCTTAACTGGTCATGATGTTGCTTCTGCTCACAACTTTTAAAAGGCAAAATCACTAAGTAGTCATGTTGGTCTGGGTAGAGGTGTCAGAGAAGCAAGCCTAGAATTGTTGGTGATGACAGCCACATCACCACCTTCAGCCTGTGTGTGCAGTATATCCTCTCACCCAGCTGTACTTTGGAACTTGGATTTTTTTGCCATGATTTCAACTTGCCAAAGCTAAAACCACTCTTTTCTATGACAAATCAGCTCCTCTCTCAACTTTCCTTGTCTTTGGTCAGTGGTACCAATAATTATTCATTGCCTTAGTCTCTCTCTGGCTTAAAAAATATGAAATCAACTTTGATTTCTTCCCTTCCTGTGCTTTTGGTATCCAGTTACCAATCCTTGAATGGTCTTTCTTTGAAAAGTCTCATGTCTTTCCTTCATTCTTTTTGCCCTATTGCCGCTGCCCGGGTCTGGTCCTCATTTCCTCATTCCTGAGCATTTGAAATAGCTTCCTAGTTCATGTCCCTGTCACCTGCCTCCATCTCCTCAGGAACACGGTGTCCCTTCTCCACTCACCCAAACACCCTCTATAGTATCACTCAGAGGCAGCAGGGTGCCAGTTCATCCTGGGTCCTATACATGTGGCAGAGAGCCTGGCATAAGACTAATGGTCACTAAGTGCCAGGTTAAATCCTAAACTCCTGCAATCCCTCCTGTTCTCTACAACCTGTAGTGCCTCTTTTAACAAGAAGAAATCCCTCTGCTTGCCCTCTGTGGTGCTCCATCATCTGGCCTCCTTGATTTCTGTGGTTCTACCAAAGGGTAGGATATTTTTGTGGGTGGGAAAGGAGGCCTCTCTCCATTATCTCTACCAAGCACTCCAATCCACTCCAAAGAAGTATATCATCTTATTTAGTGAAAACACTAGGCTTTCTTGCTTCAAGATAAGCCTACAGTCTCTCTTCCCACCTGATGGCTGCTCCAATGTCCATATAGAACTTCTGGAACCCTCTTCTTATGTTTAAATTACTCCCTAACATCCCCCTTTCCAATGCCCTACTCACATAGAGGTAGTATGTCTGGAATTCTTCTAGAATGCCTTTACCAGGCCACCTTCCTATTCAAATCCTGCTCATTCCTTGGGACCTAAATGAAGTCTCCCTCCTTCCAGTTTTAATAGATCACCTTTCATTAGCTTGTTCCAGCATCTATGCCACTCAGTTGGCCTCCTAAATATATCCTCTTACATAGTGTGCCTATGTGTGCATGTGAGCTGATTATTATTTCCTTGAGGGCAGGGTTCACAGTTCATTCTAATTTTTCTCTTACAGTACTTAGCATTTCATTGGGCTCAGCATAAGTGCTTAGAAGTATTTACAGATTGATTCAGAGCTGAGGACATACTAATAGCAAATATTAGTCTGAAGGGAAAAAGAACAGTCTAAAGCAGCAGAAACTAAACAGAAAACCCTGACCAGAATCATTTCCTTGTGCAAAGCAGCAGGCTTAGGGGCTAGAGTCACATTTGCCCCAGTGGCATGGCCTCCCAGCTCAGCTCTGCCTTTGGCAATTCCTCACCCCTCTGTCCAAATGGGCATCAGCGACCCGCAGCAGCTGGAAAAGGTAGCCTTTCTGCCGTTCTTCATTGATCACGTCTAGTGCCTCCCCAGCCACGGGCTCAGCAGCTCTGCAGTCTGTGGGGCTCAGAGCGCAGGAGTACTGCAGTGTGATGACAAGGGTCAAAAGTAACGTTGCAGTGAGCACCTGCATTTTGCTGAAACGTGAACGCCATCCCTTGCTATAGTAAGCAACAGCTGAGAATTTTATACAGACTTCCTAACACACACACACACACACACACACACACAGACACACACACACTTGATTAAACAAAGTCTTGATTAAACAAGTGTTTCTGTTTTGTAACCAAGGATGTTCACCTTGCCCCTGGTTAAAATATCTGTCAACATGTTGTAAATGATTAGTGGGTCCTGGGCATAGAAGGTTAAGACGTGCTGCTGGAAAGTGGGTGAAACTGATCTGCACAAATCTGGAAATTTCTAGTAGGTAGCAGATCCCAAGTGTGCTTTGGACCATAACCCCTGCTTATGCTGGTATGGGGGCTGGGGTTAGAAGTAAAGTAATTTTCCTGTTTAAGCTGGAAATCTCCACCATCAGTCCCCCCTTTGGATTATGGCAGTAAAAGTCCTCAGTAGCATGTAGCTGCATTCTTTAAGGGAGGTAATATGATAAATGGTCAGTGCCATAAAAGGAATGGGGTTCAGATAGAACGATTAAGAGGCTATTTAGAGTCAGAGCTGAATTTCAACCCTGCTCTGTTACCCTCTGACTGTGTGATGCTGGGTAAGCTATAATACTGCTCTGACTCTTAGTTTCCTTCTTTGTTAACGAGGATTAATACCTCTTGGCAGGACTGTGGTGTAATTAGATAAAAAAACATATAAAGTAACCAAACAATTCTCAGCACAGATTCAAGTACTGAATAAATGATGCAATTTATTATTGATAATATTATTACTAGTGTGCCTGGGAATAAGTTGAGGACATGTGCATGTCATCCCAGTTCTCCACGGTCCTTAAAGCATACTAAAAAAAAATGGTTCCTGTATAAGAGAGTGGTGGTGAGGACAGGAGCCAAGCAATTTGATGTCCATCCCAGAGAAGGGGTTCGAGGCACTACTCTACTGGGGGAAGGACTCAGCATGGGGAGACAGCACTGATATTAAGTTGATCCCCCACCTCCACCCATCCAAAGAAACGACTATGCCTGTGTTCCTGGCTGAGATGTTGTTTTTCCCAGGATCTTGCCTTGGAGGCAGTGAAGAGTGAAGCCAACAGACAAGAGTATGGAGCAACTAGCAAAGCTTTTAATGAGGAGAAAAGAAAACAGATCCTGCTAACCAGTTGGGGCTCCAAGGGGGGATGCCTATGGGACTGCAGTGTCTGAGGGTTTATAAGCACTGGAAAGGAGGAAGCCAACCTGGTTAGCTGCGCCTTGTTGCTAGGGCTGGGGGGAGACTTGAAGTTTTCTTGGCTCTCTCTCTGCTTGTTCCTGTGGTTTCTAGGTTGACTGCGCACTTCAGTTCCCCTTTTTGTTGACTAGTACCAGGGTTTTCATTAACCATTACCAGGTCCGCCCTGTCCTGCCTACCCGTTCCACTACCTCCTGTCTCAGTCTCCTTCAGATGAGGTAACCCTAACTGCTGCAAAGGAAGGGGGGAAGGCTGCTCTGGCTACTTCCTGTTGGCAAGGGACATTAACCAGGTCGTGGCAGTCAGGGACCTTCTCTGAGCGGCCTACCTAGTGGCCCACAGTAGAGGTCACGAGGTGTCTTTATGGGGAGTGTCAACTGCATCACCATCTGGAGCTTGACGGCCTCTGGATGAGAGGAGACAGATTTGATGAGAAGGTTAAATAAACATGGTCTGAATAGGAGACTAATATAACTACTTCAAAGAGAGGGAAGAAAGGTGCCAGCCAAGGCCACACCTGCCCCACGAGGGACTTGAAGATCAGGTCTAGCTCGGAGTTCCGTGTTTCCCTTTTGGCAAGCTCGTCAAAGAGGTGGATCTGCTCCTTGATCTTGTTTAGGTTTTCTTCTGCTAAACCTGAGGTGTTGCTATAAAAACAGCAGTCTCACTGAGCATGGCAGAGGTGCCCCGGCCTCAGCAGTGAGCACACCCAAGGCTTGTCTGTTCTGGAGGACGACTGCTGCAGCAGCTCACAGAGGAGCCAGCCACCCTTTGGCCACTACATCCGGTTCCTTGCTTAGGGACCCAGTTGGTTGTTGAGCTGGGCCTCTAACCTGTGTCAGCACTTCCAAGGCCATTCTCTTTTGTTCTGTCACATATAGATTGAAATATTTTCCTGTTGGGAGGCTCAGGGCAGGGGCTTGCAACAAAGCTTTTCCAGTTGCTCCCAGGCTCACTGTGCCTCGGCTACCATGCTAGGGCATGTGTGTTGCTAGCCTGCATGTCTCTAATCAATTGGTGAAGGGGCGAGCTATTTCCCCATAGCCAGGAATTCACGATCTGCAGAATACAGTGATGCGCAGGAATCCCTGGAGCTGTTTTATTGTCTTGGGCAGAGGAAAGGTAGAGATGGGTTTTATTCTATTCTCACTCAGGGCTCTTGATCCTTCAGACACTCAGGGCTCTTGATCCTTCAGACAGCATAAGACCTAGGTACTTCACTGTGGTCTGACATAGCTGTGCTTTGCTCTTAGAGATCTTGTACCCTCTTTCTGCTCGGAAATTGAGAAGGGCTTTTGTCGCTTTCTGGCTCTCCTCCTCTGAGGAAGAACAAAGGAAGAGATTATCCACATAGTGGGGGACCTGTACTCTGGGTTGTGAGAAGTCTAACAAATCTCAGGATAGGACCTGACCAAACAGATGAAGGCTTTCTCTAAACCCTTGGGGCGAAACAGTCCATCTAAGCCGTGAGGCTTGGCTGGAGGGGTTCTCATAGGCAAAGAGGTACTGGGAGTCAGGATGTAAAGGAATGCAAAAGAAGGCAACTTTTAGGTCTAAAACAGTAAACCAATTAGAGCCTTCGGGGATTTGGGCCAGGAGGGTGTGAGGATTGGGCACTATGGAGTGGATGGGAAGCACTGCTTCATTTATCAGCCAGAGATCTTGTAGTGAAAAAGGAACTTGCACTTTAGTAGGGCTGAACTCACCCCCAGGCATCTCCTGGGGAGGGCAGACCAGTGAGAGTGGCTGCTGGTGCTGACTGGGAGGAAGGCAGGCTGGGGAAGGACTTGGAGCAGAGTGGGTGGTGAGTTGGCATAAGACGCAGAGTGGTCCGGGTAGGGTTGGCACTGAGGGGCCTTCTCTGGTGAAGGCTCATTCCCTCTCAGGACTGGCCCTGTGGCTGACATGGACTTGAGGGGAGGGCCGGGCCTGATAACAACTGCCAAGGCTCTTGGGTCCATTTGTCACTTCCAACATAGTTCTGATTCGTCTCTGAGGGCAAAAAGGTTCTGGACATAGGGGATTTCTGACCATTTACCTTCTCTCCTATAGAAGAGGTCAAGTTATAAAACAGTGTTACATTTAATACTTCCCTCAGAAGGTTATGTCTCCCCATCTCCCAGTGAGTAATCAGGCCAAACATGGGTGCAGAAGAAAACCATTCATTTCTTCTGAGTTTAAGGGTCTAAAAGGTCCTAGTTTCTGAGGATGCACCCCAGAGGGTTGGTGACCAAGGTGTTTTTGGATTCTGAGTTGCTCATCTGAAACACTGGAAGAGAGAGAAGGGGTCCCCCTTTGCTGTCTCTGGCACAGAGCAGAGGCCAGGGCATCCCTTGGCACATTCCTCTCCTGCCTTACTTGGGAGGTCTGTCGCTTGCTCTCACATCCACGGCAACATTGAGCTGAGCCTGCCAGCATAGCCACTCTGTAGTACTGGCGAGCCACTCAGAAACTGGTCCTGGGCTCTCTTAGTCATCATTATATCTCCCAATGAGGACTTATCCAGAGCAGAAGTTTTGATAGGACTCCCATGCCATATAGAAACCTCGCCTTACGAAGTGTCTCAGGACTATCTCTATTTGGGAAGGACGTTTAACCCATTGGGAGCTAAGGAGATCCCTCTTGATGCTTGAGGTGGGGTCAAGATAGTCTGGATCAAGCAAGCAGAGATTGCAATATCCTTTTTATGTATAGCTTAGGAGCTGGGGCCAAGATGTTATGACTATTTGGTCATAGTGGGGCTTGACCCACTCTCCTACCCTCGAGTTTCACTGACCCTTCAGCAAATGATGACATAGGAGTATCATCTCTCTCTCTCTCATAGTCAAGAGAGGGCCACTCTCTCTTTATTTACTCTTGACCTGATGGCAGGGGCAGGTGTCCAAGGGATAATTTCTTTTCTCCATGTAGGAGCTGCCCACACATCTGCCTTCCCACCTCCCATGGGACACCAGGGACAACTGCTGGGAGGTGGAGTACCCAGAATTCTATCAAACTGGTCTAAGCCCACTCTTCCCAAGTCATGAAGGACGAGAGTGCAGAAGACTAAGGGGCCAACAGGTCCCAGGGGTGAGGACATTACAGTCACAAAACAGAAGAAACAGGAGTGCTCAACCCATGTCACAGAGGCTGGGAGTGGTTGCCCAAGTCTCTCTCTGAGGAGAGGATACTTGGGGGAAGTCGTACCCAGAACACGTTCCTCCAGGGGGAGCGAGTCGAGGAGAGCAAGGGACAGGCGGCTCTGTAGGATAGCCAGTCAGGCAGTCGGGGCCTGAGTTTTTGGCAGGGGACCTTTGAGTGTCCGCCAGGATGTAGCCCCAACTAGGAACTCGCAGCAGACCTCCTGCCTCCCCTTAGCCCCTTGCATCCAAGGATGGCCTCGCGGGAGAATTCCGCTCTCACTCAGATGACAGTGCTGCACCCGAGGCGACGGGCGACCAGCCAAGGGGGCGCAGAGGAACCTCATGCCCGAGTCTTAAGGTCGGCGACCACGCTGGTCACTCTTACCTGGCCAACAGGTGCCCAGTATTCCTTGCTCTTGGCACATTTCTAAAAGGGAAGTAAAAGAAAGAAATGCCGGTCGGGGCCGGTGCTTACTCTTAAAGTCGAACCGGAAATCCCGGACGAGCGTCCCAGGACCACGCCTCGGAGGCAGGCAGTGAAGAAGGAAGCCAGCAACCAGCAAAACTTTTAATGAGGAGTGAAAAGAAAAGGGATGCTGCTAATCAGCAAGGGCCCCAGGGGGGGAACCTGTGGGACTGCAGTGTCTGAGGGTTTATAAGCACTGGAAAGGAGGAAGCCTACCTGGTTAGCTGGGCCTTGTT